GCCTTATTGGATTTTCTTTTGTTGCTGCACTGATGGTACTTTCTCAATATTTGTATGAATCCAAGGCATAATGGCTTAGCTGGTTTGAGCGTTGCTATAATCTACAGGTCTTGTGGCAGACCCTGGGTTCGATTCTCAGTGCGGCCTTTCTTTTCTAAAGAATAAAATTCTGGTTTCAGCCCCCTAAGGACGGTAGCACTCTTTTGACCGAGAGTAGCGACCAGCGCCTGAAGCTGTGGTTGGAGATCATCCTAGATAAGTAATTCCTTGTACTACTACAAAGCAGATTCTAGTTTCTCTAGACGGCTTATTATATGTATACACAAAACTAATTCTGTGGCTATAGCTACCGTCACTCATCTACTACCATCTACACTTTATTACGACGCTGAAAAATTTCATGATTGGCAACATTCAAGGACTCGTTTTTTGCCGTGCAGAGCATCGGCCCTCTCCAGCAAGTTTGATTTTCAGCAAGGCATTTCTTTTTTATAGACTAGAATTCTGGTTTTCAGCCATTTAATTACGAGTCCTTAGTTTACTAAGGTAGCTCGTTTATTTGCTGGGGTGATCGCAGCGAAAAAAAGTTGCAACGCTGAATGTTGCATGCTATGAGAAAATTTTTCAGTACTCTTAAAATTGAACCATTACAAAGTTGTAATGCTCGAATCGAACCGCATAAGCTTTCTCGTGAACCACCTAATGAAAATTCCAAGCCCATGTCCCAATGGATTCGCGCCCAGTCCACGTCATGCGGGGCCACAACACAAAGGCGTAGCAAGGCAGCCTACGGGAGACAAAAGGAACACGCGGGAGTGTGGAGATTACCCTCGCAGCCAGGAGACGCAACACATGCACAGATGCGAGGTACGTTAATCAGCTCAAGATCAAGGGGCACACCTCACCTATCACACAGAACCTATATAACAACACCTGCTGTTGGCTGAGCGCCTCCGCTGCTCCTGCACGACCCCACACGCACACCGACTTCAGAGCCACCATCGTACTGACACCCCAATGGACAACAACGGCGGCCACCAATGATCGAGGACTGAGGACTAAGGTCGAGGGCATCGTTGCACGTGCACGCCCTCGACTCCAGCGCACTTTCACACACGCTCGCTGCCAGCATAGCCATCGCCTGCAGCAAACCCGCGCACTTGACAGTAGCGTAAACCCCATGCACTAGCCGCTTGCCCGGGTCATTGGTGCACATCAATGCGACACCAAGACGAGGCGCTGTAAGAACTGTTGGAGTGTGTTGTGCTCAGGTGGCTGAGGCCGAGCTACTGGACCAAACAGTAGCACACATCGGAGATACAAAGTCCGCTCTCCTGTATTTCGCTCTTATCACTTGCTATCATCATCGCTCGTTCTGTGTCCGTGTCTGTGCCCCTCTGCTGCTCTCCCACGATCTCAACAAGAACCGGGCCACTCGCAATGAACCCAGAACCACTGAGCCAAAAAGCCACAATATCAGGTTACTGATATTAGTTTGCAAGCGCTATATATGTTGATCGCACAGTTCAATCCCCTTTAACCAGTAGAATGGCCGGTTCATGACAGGTGCTTCCTGGCGCGAGGGCGACCATGACAACGGCGAGAACGAGCCCGTCGCATGACTGCACACACAAGCCTCACCTGATGTTGTAGTGTTAATCATTACAACCCCGGCATGATCCCAAATCGCTAATGCGCCGTATCCTGGATCATGCCGGGTCCGACCTTTAATGCATTAAAGGTTTTCAAGGCTTTCCTCTACTACTGACCGGCTCCTCGGCTTGGCTTCGGACTTTCAAATATCCCTACCCCTACTTGTTGCGCCGCTTTTGCTCGTATGCACGGACCCTTGGTGTCACGTAATTTTGCTCCCTAGCACAAAAGCGTACCCTGCGCTGAAAAATTTGTGAAAAAAAGAATTATTTATTCTACAAGTCCTTAGTTTACTAAGGGTAACTTGTTTATTTACTGGGACTTTTTGTTAAGGGTGATCTTAGAGTCCTTAGGGATCACACCAGAAACCTAACTGATCCAATCTCCAAGTGTATTGGGGTGGATGCGTGTAGGTCAAGGTGGATGAGGATGCCCTCATCTCACCATGCACGATCGGTACAAGAGTAGAATAATACATGTAAATAGCCTGATGGCTGCAGCCCCGGTGGCGCCTCGTAACACCCTCCCCCACAGGATGTGACCTAGGGCCATCCGACTGAGTTCCGAATTGAATAGATTTTTGTTTTACGCGGTAGTTGAATACCGCGAAGGACTTAAAACCGGCGCCGCCCATTAACGAGGAAGCTTTTATGCCATCCTCGAGGCAGGGGCATATGTCGTAGGCGAAGCTTTCAAGCCATCGGCTACGCCATATGATGTGGCGAGGAAGCATCCGTCGTTGAAGGCGGTGCGGATAGTGGCGTCAAGCTGCCCGCCGTCGATGGTGGCAGCGGGATCGAGTTTGCGTGGTCCATCATGGACGCTTGCTCCGAGGAACGGATGATGGGTGCCGGGGGCTCCAGCCAGCGCGCGAATTGTGCGTCAAGGGCTGCTTCGTTGGTGCCGTCCCGGGAATTCGCCGTCAGCGCATCATCGAGATCCCGAGGGAAGTCTGGGAACGGAGATAGGTCCGACACAGAGCGTCCGAGTTGAAGATTGCGCCGCGCGCGGGCAAAGCCCTCGAGTTGCGTCAGGATCGGGTGGCCGTACATGACACCATGTACCGCGAACCAGTACGCGACTTGAATCGGGCTCAAGTTGTTGACCGGCAGAGGATACGGTGCAGGGCGCATTGCGCGCCGTGACATCCCCGCTCGGCGGTGGATGGCCTCGAAGAGGCCCGGGATGGAGAACAATTGCGTGGTCGCGCGGCGGAATGCGCCGTGCTGGAACGCTTGATCGTTGGCGTGCGAATGAGACCCTGGGGGTGATAAGACCATGATGGCCTGTATGGCGTGCACGTCGGCCTGGCGCGGCGTGAGCCGCACATCGGCACCACGCGGCACGTCCCCCAAGTCAGGATTGGCACGCATACCAATGGGCCATTCCGCAGGTGACACGGTCTGGTAGTAATGGCTCAAGTCGTCGACACTCATAGAGCGCATCGACGACGCTGAGGGGGTTGGGACCGGGGCAGGCGTCTGTACCACCGGGGCAGGCGCTTGGACGGGGGTTGGGGCCGGTACAACAGGCGTGGTACCCCACTGAGCAATGGCGGGGAGGGACGACTGCGCCGTGTCAGGTACGCTGTCGCCCCATTGCATCGAGGAGGGCGCGCTGGGCGCGGCGACACTGGCGTCGGTCATTGGTGTGTTGACGTCCGCCACTGGTCGAGGCATGGCCGACGATGGGCCCTGGCGATGACGGTCGTTATCGTCGTGCCGCCGGGATCGGTGGGTGTTGCCCGGTATCGTGCTTCGCGCGATCAGGCGCAACACCGCATTACGGCGCACCCGCGGGTTCTGGATGAGTGTGCGGTAGTAGTTGAATAGTAGCCGCGCCCCGGCGCTGCCACTTATCGCGCTCTCGCGGAGCTCACACGCATCTGACTCCGTGTCCATGCGCGCATTTGCCCACGTCCCCAGTAGTTCAGCAGGGGGCTCCACCGCCGTCGGGTGCCGCTTAGTGCGGGACATGGCGAGGCCCTGACGCTGCCGCTCCCTGTCTTCGGCTGACATCTTGCGCTCGTCACCATCGTCCTCGTCCTCAGGCTCGTCGTCATCGTCGTCGTCGTCATATACCGCTATGGACACGACGTCCTCTCGCTCGGTGTGAGGCTGGACCGATGAACTCGAGCCCGCGACCGGTGTCATGGGTGACGGGGCGCGGTGCGCTACCGCCGATGACGTCGACGACGCCAGCGGCTGGACATGTGGTGGTCGCGAGCGTGAGCGCGGGTTCGACCAAGACCGCCGTGGGGAACGCGACCGTGAACGACGGTGCACAGGCGATCGATTATCGCGGTCGCGGCTCTTGTATGGGCCTTTGTGGCGATTCACCGTGTTCCACGCGCCACCGTCCCCTGGGCGGTATGCACCTGATGCTGTGGGTTATTTACAATAACTCTAGCAAGATGTCGTTCCTGCCAATGCAAAGGAACGCGATTGCCGTCTACACAGCCACTCCCCTGCCAATTTTGCTCTCGGCTTGTCCGGCACTGCATGGCAGCCCTTCGGACCTCGAATTTTTGTCTTACCAAGCTCCCTGCTTGCCTCGGATGCCTTGCGCGACTTCGGCATGCTCCGGGGGCTTGTCGTCGTCGTGCCTCGAGGCTCACAAGCTTCTATATTTGGTTCCCTTTCAAAATCTCCACCTGGGCTTATGCCCGCATTCCCGCTCGAAAAAACCGTTAAAAAATTATTTATTGCCACTGTATACAATCTATGCGCCTACAACATGATTTGGAGGATATAAAAAAAACCCCCG